CAAAAGTCCGAAATTATACGATTTAAAATAAAAGCAATAATTGTGGCTTGATATTGGGTAAGAACACGTTTTTATGAACCACACAGCGTCCGGTCTTCCACGACCCGACCGGAGAAAAAGACGTGCTGCAGGCACGAAACACATTACCAGTAGAAATACATTGCTTTTATCGTGCTGTGCAACACGAAAAAAAGGGGAAAATCGTGTTGGTGAACACGAATCAATAGATTAAAAATCGTGTTGGTGAACACGAAATGCCATGAGACTGGGTTGGTATGAGAATGGCCCTGACACCATTTCAGCCCAGATTTAAACTCCTGGCAGGACAAGCTCGAGCTCAATTCTTGCACTGAATAAAACAAGTGAGTGAGGGACTGCAATATAAGAGGGAAAGAAAGAGAAACTTTAAAACTGTTCAATTGTTATGATGTGTAAAGACTGATATTGTTCTATAATCGTCTGAAACTGTTAAGTTGTGATATGAAACGGTTAACAAAGAAAAAGGGAAACTCAAGCTGCTGCTACACTTTATTTTATTTATCTAAAATTAAGCACTTTTAAGATGCACACATTTTCAATAGCTATTTTATTTATTTTCTCCTATTTTATTCTTAAATGCAGCCCGAGAGGAACATTACACATATCCACAGTTGCATATCCACAGTATTTATTGTATAGTTCAATGTTAATTGACAATAAATATTGTTGTTTATTAATTGTACTTTCTTTATTTGATTGGCAGTCAGTTGTTGATTACATGCAGACGTTGATAAAGCTGCAGGCTACTTCAATATATATCACACTAATTCATGAAGCAAGTTAGACATTTTGATGTTCCGGACCTTTGCATGGGGAGACTTTCTCTAACTGGACCTCGTTGAATTTTAGTTGAATACCCCTGAACTATAAGAATCAATCAATCAATTTTGATTATTAGAATGAGTTCAGATACTCTTCTAAGCTGCAATAAATCAAACCTGTGTCCAAAAAGAAGCAGCATCAGCGATGAATTGATTAAGCGTGAAGAGGTGGATCGCACAAATCACTTTGTACTGGAGAAAATGTCCCCATGAAATGGGGAGCGTAATGTATATTTTAAACTGTAGATTTAGTTGGAGTGAAAAGAATACTCAGTATTAAAAAATATAATATATTCAGTTAGCAGTCAATATAAGTGTGATGTCAGCCCACTAACTGCATCAGATGTGGTCAAACTGAGCGGTGAGAAATACGTGTTCCTGCATGTGAGGACATTCTGATCATCTGCAGTGCAGTTTAACCCAATGAGACTACAAGTGCTACTTAAGGGCACTGACGAGCAAAGTGTCATCTCTTCCTTTTGACGAAGCAGACTCCTTTTCAGCAAAAGAAAATGAGCAGAACCCAAAAAGCAGCACTGATTCCCTTGACCTAGGATTAGGCATGTTGTGAGCCATGCTGTCTGAACTATTTGTATATCGAGATCAAATAACAACGGCAGTACAACCAAAATAATGTTTTGAATACCTAGTGAAAAGAGCCAAGGATTGGATGTCCTTTTATACATAACATCTTCAGATAATGCTCGCATTAATAGCAGGTTTGAATTCGGCCCTGAATTACCTCAAAGCAGATGTTCTCGCCTTCCTTATCACAGTCCAACCATAGAACCACGTAGTCACAGCCTCTCGCTTCAACCTGACATGACACCAGAAATGTGGGGTAAGCACCACAAATATAATCCATGAAACACTGACATCCAGATGATTAATAAGAATGCTGTGTGCTCCAATGTCTTCTGAAAATCAATATCTGAGTCACTTACCTGGAGGAACTTGACCATGTTGAGTTTAGGGTTGGCCTCCTTCTTTTCTGTCGGAGCTTTGCTAAAGAGTTCTGCAGGGTCCACCTTGTCCCAGTTGTTGTACTTCCCTAAAAAAACAACAACAAAGCCTAAACTGTAAGAAAGGACAAGAAATGGGAGCTAAATAGGTTGAAACACGTAAAACGATATGATTAACACTTTATTGTCAGATCAAGTCTGACATTTTACATACGTTACAGCAGCTCCATCCTCAAATATTAAGCGGGGAAAACAGACAATTAACACAACAATACAATCACTGAAGACAGTATGTTCAAGAGCTTCTAACGTACATTTGACCTGGGATTAAACTCTGTATTTAATTTGAGGATTGACTGGTGCACAAAGGAGTTTTTCAGTCTAACCCTATTCAATTGTCGGATGTGTATCTCCAATTTGATGGTAACAATTCATATTTACTGTTAAATGGTGTTTTTAGTTATTGCTTTTAGAAGGTGTAATGGTACATTCAATTGTTTAAGATGTTGATCAGGTCATGATTAGGGATGTACTGATAACTTTTTTTCTTTTCTGACACAGATTCAGAAAACTGAACTCTTAAAAACATGTTGTTACATTATTAAGCACCGCAAGGAAATGTCATCAGTGAAGGTTGGGTGGGTTAGGGTGAGCAGGAGATGATACCCACCGATGAAATCCAGACTCATCACATGTCCACACACAGAAGTCATCTTAAAGCGTACACTTTGGCCCTGGAAGCTGCCGGGGTATTCGTGCACTGAGCATGCTCCGTTGAGACCCTTGCGACTTGTACAATTTCCTTAAGGCCAAGGATAAAAGATGATAACGTAATTAGTCAAAAGTCTTTTAAAAAAGGTGCATGTTTTATAGGCCCATGAAAAAAACATTGAAATGCCCACCTAACAACATAAAAATGCAAAGGCTTACACATAAATGATCAATTGCAGAGGTAATTAATATGGTTGAAACTCTGAAAAGATCCAAACCAACACAAGTATTGTGTGTACCAAAGCCTAATGTGTTCCAATGTATTTGTCCAAAAACTATTAAAAACCAGATGTTGATGGTATTTAAATCGTATCTGCAGGACAGGACATGCTTCCACTAGCCCAGATCCTAAAAGTTAACAAAATGTCGTACCACAATTATGCAGATGACACTCAGTTATACATTACAATAAAGCCTGGCGGATTCCAGACCATTCCAATCCCTTCACCAACTGCATGGAACAAATCAGTAGCTGGATGAGCAACAATTTCCTAGAATTAAACAACAAACAAAACAGAGACAATTATCTTTGGTGCCAAAAGGGAGGAACGGGCTGAAGTAAGCGCTAAACTAGAAGCCCTAATCAGGGCCGTCCCTGGCCAACTTGGGGCCCCAAGTGACACCTGTAAGTGATCTATTGTTATCTTTTAATGGAACTTTTAGTTCCGCAGGATAGTTTTTTATTACAAAAATAATATATTATTTTAGTGAGAACAGTGGACACGGACTAAGAAGCTATTTGAGACAGACTGACTTCTGGTGTGTACTGCTCAGTGTCCGTCAATCTGCAAGAAGCAAAGGGCAAAGTCAAGCCAGTCAAAGGGAGAACATTATGAGACCGTATCAAACAAACCCTTCATCAGTAGAACATTTTAGGCTTGCTTTGTAGCATTTATTTTCTTTAGCTATTTATTGTACAACTATTTTTATATCACACAAATAACGTGTTATTTATTTAATCACTATACTATATAAAACTTAAGTTATAAAATAATAGCACCCTTATATTTTATAATATGCAGATATAATAAGGAAGTATCGTGAGATTAAACTACATAATTTTGAAGATATTCAATAAATAAAAATGAATTAGAAAACACAATTTTGAAATGCGCTTCAAAAAGTACACTTTATTTACTTTTTTAGTTTTTATTCTAAAACTCGGGGCTCTGATGAGTCAGACTTTTACAGGAGGTCAGAACATGGCAGGAACATGAGTGCATATTCAATTAATTGAGGGGGAAGTCATCCCTTAGTTACCATGCACATGACGTCTTTTCTGAATACAATTATTCTTTCAAGGTTGACTGCTAATGAAGGAATATGGACGCAAACTATTCGGATGGGAATGCTACAATGAGGGCAAATAAATAGAGGCAGGTCCAGAGACAGGTTGCAGATCTACTCCAACAGACACCAAGAGAAACAACATAAGACCTATAGCACCCAGGAGCAGCCCATCCATCTCAAGCGACAAACTTCAGCCATGGAACAGCTCCAGGTAAGAAAGTTGCCTTCATGTTAATGGTGATGATGACGGACGTTTTTGACAGCTTCCAAGTGGGTTACACCTTAAAAGTAGAATAGTTTTGGTCTTAACATGTACGTTTAAATAATAAGCCACAAGAGGCCATCCTTTACACTAACTATCAAAGTAGGGCTGGATATCCTTGGAAATTATTAACAATACCCTTGTTTCATTACACACACCAAAGTAATATTGTCTCTGTAGCGATGTACAAGTAGATGTACAAGAACTTAAGAATGAAATGGGCCAAACTGTAATTAATATCAAGAACTAGGCGTTTTTATCAAAGAATAAGAAAAAAGATTACATATCTTAACATATATTTGAGGTCAGCTTACTGTAAATGACAGTTTTTAAAACCATTTGGTAAGCAGTGCACTAAATAAAGTGTTTCATACAAAGCAGAGTCGAGTCCTGACAGCCTTAATAAATCAGTATGGAATGCCACTCAGAGTTGTCGGCTTATCCTTGAGGGACAAAAACAAATCATAATAATTTCCAAAGCATAGTGATATGCAGTATTTTCAGTTTGAGGAAAAGCAGACTGATGCAAGACATCTCCCGGAAAGTGACGCAGAGAAATGAGACTAACCGAATAATGTGTGTAGCTGCTGCGGGTCTTCCTGCTGTGCCTCGCGGCCCTGAACCAGTGTGTGGCCCTTCCTCTGGGCAGCCAGTGTGTGGAGGAGTCCTTCTGCACTTACAACCTGCAGGACTACCACAGGCAGCTGGTGAACCTGCCCAGCAACATCAACGAGCGCAGCATCGCCACCTGGAGCTACGTGTGAGTGTACACGCCACCATTACTGTCATTAAGCTAAAATACACTATTCTATTCTCAACCAGTCGTTCTGGAAGAGTGGATCAAATAATCCATTAGATGATTAACAGAACTCAAAATATGAATCAGTCTCTTAGGGTGTTTCATGTTGTTCCATTAGTCGGGACAAACCTAGACCTGTAAATGTCAACTTGAGAACTCTGTCGTTTTTTCATTTTTAGAGCAAAGATTATCATCATTTTCCAAGGAATACCATTGTCAATGAAGTCTCTCTGTGCTTTAAAATGTTGATTGGACATTAGGAAATGACAAATTGCATTCTAGTAAATAGCTATCAGCTGTTTTTTTACAATGTCCTTGCATTCAAAGAATCAAGAAGATTGTGGCTAGCTATTGATGACACTTTGGTAGAAGCACCAGCTGACTGAACTGGGAGTGAAGAAGAAAAGAGGAAAGAATATGAATGAGGAAAGATCAAATGTATAAATGGAACTGAAACTAATGATCACTCCAATTAATGATTAATTTACCAATTGCCCTAAATCAACCATTCATTGGTTCATTTTATTTATTACAACTAATTTGAAGTGTCAAATCTATTGTATTGTTTGACCGATAGCCTAAAAATCAAAAGTATTACATTTGATATAAGACTAAACTAAGTGAAACAAACTCATTTCAAGTTTGAAGCAATTCATTTTAAGAATATTTGTTTATTATAAATAATTATATTGAATCATTTGTTGTTTAAGGGCGGCTGGCAAACAGCTTTTAGGCGCACCCCTAATAGGTATAATATTCAATTGCCAACAGCACACCATAGCATAATGACCACTTTGTCATTTCTCTATGTGATGAGAAATGTAACCTTTACATTGCTTGCACATGACAAACAAAGACAAATAACTTTGAGGTGCTTTGTATTAAGTGCACATTTTGATGGTCTTTGTGTGGGCAATGATCCCAGGGAATGATACTTTATCATGAACGGTATAACATGTTTGTTTGATTATTTGAGAAACATCCCTGTGTATTACTGAAAACATCTGCTAACAGACAGGATTGCAGAATGTATCGCCAGGTGACTTAATAAATCCTTTAGATGAAGGATTCTTATTCACCAATGAATAAAGCCTGTCTGATCTGTCTCCAGGGAGAACATCGACCTGAACCGGGTGCCTCAGGTCATCCATGAGGCCAGCTGCCACAGCAGCCACTCCTGCAGGGGGCTGGACAGTGCTTTTGGTCTGGAGACCATCCCCGTGTCCCTGAGGATGCCCGTCCTCAGGAAGAACCCCAGCTGCTTCCCCTCAGCCAGCTACTCTCTGGAGTTTGAGCTCATCACCATAGCGTGTATATGTGCCATCTCCAGGCATAGCTGAGCAGGAATGGCTGATAGGCCTGTCACAACAATACATTATCGACTTATATATATGGACATAGCCTCATCATTTTTTCCATTTGTTTTAACATGCATGTTTGTTTAAATGAGAAAGTCACCAAAATGTTAGTCAACATGATGCCAGAGCGTTCTTTCACAGCGCCTAAGGCGAATGAACATGTCACTTCCCTGTCACATCTCCCCTCGTCTGCTCTCTCTCCTCTGTGTCAGACTTACAGAGCAGGATTTGGGGATAGTAACTTCAGATTTAACCCTGGGTTTTCAGTACTAAGACTGTGGTTCCCTTCTTAATGGGATAGCTGGTGACGTATGCTGCACACCGGACCTTTCCGGGTCAGGTGATTTTCAAGATTGGTTCATGGCTTGAGACACGGTCTTAGGAGGTCAATATTAATTATTTATGCCTTAGTCTTTCAGCTGCAAGCCTGGATGGTTAAAACAGACTTGGGAGTAAATAAAAACATAACTCAAAGTGGTGAACAGTAGAATGCACTTAAAATGTAACTGAATGTTTGGCAATTTAATGCTAATAAATAAGCCTTGCTTTCTTTTTAAAAAAATAGGAAGATTAAGAAGATAAAATGAAAAGCTGCGTTCAAGCAACACATTAATTCAATCTTACACATATTAAATAAGTCAACCTAATAGTAACCAAGATAAGCAGAGATAATATTAACCGGTTAATGTATGCATTACCTAGGGGTTTCTTTTGCCACCCGTCCTTCCTGCATTTGGCATGTTAAACTGTGTTGCTTTTAGACTGGATTAAGTTTTGAACGTTTTTAGCTATGTTATATGCTGTTCATTTGTAAAATATGATGATTTTTCGCTGCCAACTCCTCCCTTTTTAAGTGAAACGCAGTCATAGCCAGACTGAGAAACCCTGGGTTTATTTACAGAGGTGATAGCCAGCATTGTAGAACTGCTTAGCAGGATTGTTGTTGTTGTTGTTGTTGTTGTTAGGGTTAGTGAACCCAGATAAAGAACATATATTCTGGGTACTGGCTTCAGAGTAGAGGACAAAGGTAGAGGTAAGATAACATTGAGGATAGGGGTTTTTATGGGTACTGACAGGCCAGAACGTTTGGAAGAATATTGGTCCAATGGGCGTACAATCTACAGCTCCATGGTGGGCACATTTTGGGTTTAAGTGAGAGTCAAGAGAGTGAATAGTCAAGAAAGGCCTGTTACCTGCATGAGCCAATATGTCGACTGTTTAAAAACAGTGGAAACATAAAATTGCTATCAAGCAAAGCTTATATGTTGTTACTTTGCACTCTGTCATTAATTTCCTTAACACTGACAAAAATATCCAATCCAATCATATTTTTAAGAATGAAAGTGCATATGCATTATTATGCTATTGTATTATCATTTCATATCTGTGGCATGAGATGGTCTTCAAGTGACAATAAAATAATGTTGAGATGATTTTTGGGACAATGACCCTTTGTCAGTAGGAATATATATATATTTTTTTAAATGCATGGTTTCTGTGGATTATTTGTATACTACGATAAATGATGTGTGCATTGCTAAATAATTTTGTGGAGAATCATATATATTTATTAATCACAAAATTCACTTGGGAATCCTTTTGTGTGCATAACCTATTGAGACTGATCTAAGTCTACCAATGCATCCTTATCCCGTAACCACGTTAT